ACTACAGGCATGCGCCACCATGCCTGGCTAATTTTTTCTATATATATTTTTAGTTGTTCGGCTAATTTCTTTCTATTTTTTTAGTAGAGACTGGGGTCTTGCTCTTGCTCAGACTGGTCTGGAACTCCTGAGCTCAAACAATCCGCCCGCCTTGGCCTCCCAGAGTGCTAGGATTATAGGCGTGAGCCACCGCGCCCGGCCAACACCTTTCTTTTATTACCAATAAAATTAACATTTTCGCTTACCAGGCAGCAGCAGTGGCCCACCAGCCAATTTGTAATATGTCTGCTATTGATGGCTATAAAATATGATAAAAAGTCATCACATTAGTCTACAATTGTGTATCCCTTTGGGAGGAATTCATTCGACTGTGGGTATTTTACTGACCACATATGCTGAGCGATGTCCTGCTCCTTGTTTTGGCGCTGCACCAGGTTCACACACAGACTGATAATCATAAGATTTGTTAAAAGCATAAACTGATATATTAACCAGATGTCTCATCAAGCTTGGATCGATCTCTCCAAAAAATCTTCCAATCTGGTAAAAATAATAATAATAAAATAATGTTTCAAATTTAAGCCAAAAATGAATACCTGAATCATCAGTACAGTGAAAAGAATTAATATGAATAAACTATGAACTAAGGAGCTTAAAAGCAATGAGAAACCCGTATACAGCACTGTGAAAAAACTAACATGAGAGTAGGTGTTCTCATTACTCAATGGCTCTGTGTGATATTTTATTTGGGGAAGGAATGGACATACTAAGACTACTAAGCATGAAGGTCACAATCAAATGCCTCCTGGGTGAGTAGAACAGAGTTGGAGGGTAGAGAATGAGGAGATGTGGGTCAAAGAATACAAAGCTGCAATTATGTAGGATATACAACTTTAGAGATCTAACGTACAACAGAGGGCTACATTTAAAAATATTGTATGCCGGAAATTTACTGAGAGTAGATTTTAGGTGTTCTTACCACACAAGAAAAGGTTATTGTGAGATGATGACTATGTTAATTGGCTTGACTATAGCAATCCCTTAAATAGGTATATCAAAATATCTTGTATACCTTAAATATATGCAATAAAAAACAAATGCCTCCTGAGGAAATGAAAAGTAGCATAAATGATAGTCAGTGGACTAGAAAAAGAAAGAAATTTGGGACTTTCATAGTCCCATCTAAAGCAGCAATCACTAGCTAATCAGCTCCAACCCATGAACATTATCATACAGAAAAACAGGCCAGTGTTGAGAGATAGTTTGCTTTTTTTGAAAAGAGAAGCCAGAAATGCAGATTCAGAAATGAAATTAGTTGGCATCTTACGCAAATTTGTTTAAAAACTTGGGTGAACCAAATAGCCTATGTGCTGCCAATTTGGAACTAGAAACCACAACAACCAACCATATATTAAATTAGACATTATCAATTGGCAAATATTTAGGTGAAATTTTTCTAAATTTCTGAAAGATTAAAAATAAGTTTATATTGTATTGCAATCCTTAACTATATGTTTTAATCGTAACTGTTAGTACCAAAGGTAAAATCAACTAACAAACATAAATAACTAGCATGCATTTCTCAAAGGCTTATATTAAGCATTTTAAAATTTACTTTATGACAGAACTCATCAATTTCTATAATGTTGAGGCTTTGTAATGTTGATCAGGGAAACATGCTTTGGAAAGCCTACTTCTCTCTCTCTTCAGGTACATACCTGATTAGTATAATCATCATGATTTGCCATCAAAAGAAACCCACCATCATCTAGAATCACACAATCCATTACCTACCAAAATAAAATGAACAGTAAACACATTTTTAGGAAGGTTAGGTTGCATTATCATTACTCCATTACATGTAGATGATTAGAACAAAAATAGAAAAAATTAAATGCCTATATCTTCTCTTGAACATATATCATTAGGAAATTCTGATGAAAGAGGCATGCAAACTGCCAGGCTTGATAATCTACCACCAACCATCCAATTAAAACCGTCGATTCAGCCTGAATAAATCTTAAGAAAAAATTACAAATATCTTATTACCACTTCAAGGTCATCTAAGTGATCCAGGAAATTGGATAGACCAAGATATCTAATAATTATTATTT